TTTTTTCCTTTTCAAATTCTCTCCCCTGTCGGTGATTGTGCAACACGATAAAATGGACACGAGGTGACGCAGTGCAACTCTTGCAGGTCGGCTGAAGAGCGACCATGCAGATTTACATGGAAGTATTCATAGGCAAGTTTGCTACCAGGGCACGACTAAGTAGCTCTTCAAGGCTCTGGTGGGCTGTACGACATATGTATATCACAGTACTGTACATACTACTTAGGGCTAGGATTATAGTGGGAAAACCAAATGAGAAAGCTCTCTATTTCGAGCCGGTACTTTTGATTCCTTCAAAGCACAGAGATCAATATCGATCGATATAGTACTCCGTACATAGCGACAGACGTCTTAAGTTCTGGGACTAGTACTAAGGACGTATCTTTGAACCGGTTCGTTTAGGGAAGTCGGCAAGGGCCCGGCCGCGACTATTTTCGTAAGCTCTCCCAAATCCTAATAGTCAATATAAATAGGTTTGTGACCTGTCAAGTTAAAAGTCCCCGTCCATCGCACAAACAAATCCACTTGGTTGGGATCGCTGTGCATCTGTCACATTGGTATAGTCTATTTCTGATCTGCGTCTCTCCCCAATAGCCACTACTGGCTTGGTGGCTTTCAATTCCCCGTCTCACTCCCTCTCTTGCTTCGATCCTTACGTGCCCAATTTCGATTTTTGGATATTTCGTGGTTTTTTTCCTAATCTGATCATCCCCGAAAGATGATTGACGTCGTCCACATTGTTATCAAGGCGTATCCTGCGTTCTCAAAGGGGGCTCGTTTCAGTTAAGTTATGACCTCAATCAACCCCTCCAGGAGTTGAGAGTCAGGGCATCCCTTGCTTGTAACGGCTCTTGCACACTCTTTTCCCCTCTTCTCAGTTTCTTTTCAGAAAAGGAGGCATGCAAAGATGTCACACACGAGAATGGCGCTAATGCTGAGCTCGTACCGTGGTTTCTCACGATATAGTCGCAAACGGACATTCTTTGTTGACGTGCCGACTATAAGCAGTTCGAAAGAGAGAACAAACTATGTCGGATCGATAGTGCTGACCCATCAATTGGGGTGACGAAAATCCCCAATGATTGTCACTGTGATAGGATCATCCTGCGAGCAAAATAGCTTTTCACTACTCTTCCAGCTCTATGGGGCATCGGTCTGTCATTTGCGCCACCTGAGGGGCCGATCGAACTACTAGCACGGACCGATCGTCCATCAACGTTTTTTTATTTCCTTTTAATTACCCTTTTTTTTTATTTTTATTTTTATTTTTTATTTTTCTGCCTCCCCTGCGGTTTCGCTTTTCCATTTCGGTTAGAAATGACTCCACTAGCCTTGCTTGCCGGATGCCCAACTGGGGCTGTCTCGCCTCCCTCGGCCCTTGAGGCTTTGTGGAATCCTGGCATGGTGGAATGGCACTACTTAGATTCAACTCTATCTCTCAATCTATCGAGAACGAGGTCGGCTCTTCATTCGACCATGTCCAGGTCGTCGCATTCAAGAACTAGACAGGATGCTCCCGGCTATGTAGGGTGGTGACAGGTCCAGATGTCCATAGAGCTCTCTTTTAAGAAAGGACCTCTCCCTGCGTTGCATCTTCCCTGGACGTAGATTGATATCTCAATTTCTTTTTCCCATATGTCTCAATTCTCCATTCATTTCCTGTACATACCTTCATACGCACATACGCACATACGGATTAGACTTTGACCATCCCACCTCATTCTTTCTCTTCTGCCTTCCTGCTCTTTGTTTGATACCCCCAGTGCGATTTCTTCTATCTACCTACGTCATTCCTTTCATAACCTTTCTAGAGGTACTGACCTCTCTCAATCAAGGTGAAAAAAAAAAAAAAAAAAAAAAGGTAATAGTGCCTCTAGAATCACGCTACTTCTGTACATGCAACATACCACGAAGCGTCTTTCCTTGTCGACTCGCGTTGGCATTTCATGTCTCCGGTTCGGTTTTGAAGTCATATATGGCTGAGGTCCAGTCGATCTCCTTATGTTACACCAGGTCGACCTACAAGAGAGCTCAGTCGCACCGAGTCCAATAATCCCAACCTGCCGCCTCAGTCCTCAATTGTCTAAACGAGGTCGCTCCAGCATGTCTATTATACCAGGAGGAGATATTCAACCTCCAGGATTGTCAAATATGCAGAACCGAAGTGAACATGTCCCCGACCTTGTACAGTTCTTCCAAGCACAGGATGCCTTGTCGACCACATCTTCGCAATCCGGTAGCGCTCGCGATATTCTCAAAGCGGGCCAACGACGCCTGCGGCAGCTAGCTCAGCGTCCTAAAAGGGGAACAGACCCTCAGACCAAAGCCGAAGAAACGTCTCGCCAGCTACTAGCGCTTCAACAGGAGGGATTTCTGCCTGTGACTCTAACTCCCCCCAAGCCCAAGAAATCTGCTCCTAAGCGTAGTATTGACTCCACGGTATCCTCGACCAGATCTGCTTCCAATCTGAGTTTCCAATCGAGTTCCAGAAGAGACGTGGAAAGCATTGGACAGCCATGGCTGGAAGGTTCGCTTGAAAAGTATGATACCCGTGAAATGAAAGGAGGCCGTTTGTCTTCACTGGATCTGCGAGATATCACGTCCCTGGTCGGCGCTGCGTTGCCTCGACCTCCTCAATTTGAGGACGTGACCCCTCCGCCTTATCAGGCTTCCGCCCAATCGAGCAATCATGATTCGCAAGGAAACTCTTCGCATCCCTCAACTTGCCATACTTCAAATTCTACGACTAGTGAGCCACTGGATGAGATAGAAGCCTTGCCGAAGGTTCCGGAAATACCAGATCGAACGAGCAGTCATCACACCAGGATGTCGACTAGCACTTTAGACAACAAGCAACAGGTAGGCTGGTATCATTTAGCATATATACTATACGCGATACTGACTTCCAACAGTCGGGTCACGAGCAACCGGCAGAAGCCAAGCCAGTAGGGTCCAAAGACGGCCCTGAAGCAGCGGACAGCAAATCATCGTCATCTAGTCCACCAAACACCATGCAGAGCCATTCGAACCCGGGAGCACAAACACTGAAGCTTTTCCCTGACCCTGTGCCTCCACGGATGCCTAATAAAGGAGCCTGGCGCATATCGAACGGTTGCCCACCCCCTTCCGTTAGATCCTTACCAACCACGTCAGCGCAGCAAGACTCTTCGGCTGTTAGTGCTCAACCGAACGACAAGAACACTAAGCCTTCATCTAGCACCCAAAATCGTGACGCCGACCCTGGAAACCTGGGATGTGTGGGTCAAATGCCTTCAACGCAACCGACAGATCCAAGCAGAAACAGTGTGGCAAGCCAAGGACATGAAAAAATGCCGCTGACTAGAAACGGCCGCCGTCCGGCATCCTTGCCCATGGGCGCAATTGATGCATTCCCTCTACCAGCACCTATGAGACCTCTGCCTGCGTTACCGGAAGCAGTTCCAGGAATTCGTCCTATTTACGGACAAGACACTACTGCCACGAAAAGAGGTCTTCGTGTCAACCAACAACAGCAGATCCTTCAGTTATCATCACGTTCTACAGCAGAAGGATCCATGGGCAGTGCTGCGAGGAGAGATAATCATGCGTCAGTGACTGGTCAAGCTACACCAAGCGCTAGCAAACCTGTGACAGCAACGGACAGAGGAAACAAATCTGCTAGGGCAGGCGCATCGAATTCCAAGTCTGTCACGTCTGTGAGAGCCAGTCAAAGCCGAGCTGATAGGGTTCGTGCGCTGAAAAAGAAAGATATGTCAGCGAGCCGAAGCCACTTACAAGACTCAGACAATCGTTCTCTGGAAGAAGGTCGGCAGTCTCTTTCAAGGCTCTCTCATACGGCCTCATCCGAAAAATATGATGAGGCGACAGCTGCTTCACGCTGCCCCGACGAGGGAGTTGGGAGTCAATATGAAAGGGAATCTACAGATACCCAATTATCTACTCTTTCCTCTTATAGCTCGAGATTTCCTGGGCAATCCACTGAAGCTCATGCTGTTAGCACGCAGGATGGTAGCCAACTCGCTTATCTTAACGCTACATCATTGAACATCCATGAACCGTCATCACTGCCTGCTTCAAAAAGAAATTCCCGGGTCAATCCAGGCGGTGGTACACGAAGCACAAGCGTTCTCAGTGGAAGGGTAGTTAATGATCTGGATCTTCACGAGCGCTCTGAGACCCCTCTCCCGTCTTCGGAAGATGAAGGTATGGATATTGGCATGCGCAAGCAACAGGCACACCCTCTTCCTAGTAGGCGACGGCGACCTAGGTTGGCACCCATTAATGTTGACGAGTCTGCCACACGCAAAACGCGTCACATGAAAAAGTCATCGTCATACGACTACTCCAGGCCCAGAACCCCCCGGAACCGCAGAAGCCAGGGCCTGGAGAAATCTTCCTCGCAATCACCACGTTTGCAGGGTAGTTATTACTATCACGAAACGCGAGGCGGTCATCATCGGCCTTCTTACGTTCGAGAGCTCGAAAAGCGCATTGTACATCTCGAGCACCAAAACAGAACACTTCAAGCTGCTCTTCTTGGGGCTCTCGGTGTGGGCGGTAAACAGAACGTAGAAGGTCTTCTCGGTGGATCATCCACCTCCCTCTCTACTCCCCCTACTAGTAGATCTTTCTCATCTATGACGGACTCTCCATCCAGCCCGGATTCCCATGTCATGAGGAATGAGCGGCGTACGCACAGACGCCAAGCCCCATACCGTCCAGAGACCTGGATTGCCAGCCCAGGCTCCAGCCGACGCAGTAGCTACAGCTCGGAAGCAAGTGCTGACATCCGGGAGTTGGAAAATATGATTGAGGACTTCGATTTTGGCTGGGAGTCGGATCAACCGAGTTCCCGAAGAACACAACAGCTCGAAATGAGGGCTTGATATACTTTCCTATGATATTTCCTTTCATTGTGGTGTTCCTGGGTTGTCACTCTCTTTTCTTATATCCCCCCCCTCCCCAACCCTTTGTCTTTCCCTGTATGAGCCTAATCCCGTTAGGGCTCTGTAGTCGTTCTTTAACACTGGTCTTCTTTCGATTTGCATGACTCTCGCATCTCCTATTCTGTCTTCGGTGATACCATTTTGTTTTGTATGTTCTGTGTAACTATTTGCTGTTGAATGAGATACCATTCAAGATTGTTAAGGCTTTTATTAGATCATATAGAAGTTTATGTACTTATACTATAACAAGGGAGAGCGAGGTATACTTCCTGATGCCTGAATAAGGGCATGTTATCGCTTAGTCATCCAGGCCGCGACTCGGTTGGAGTTCAATGGAAGACCGTCAACAAAATACCAAACAGCTTCGATCTTTCACAATCCACAGACCTCAGCGTGAGCGAGCTAGAAAACGGCCGTGGAGCAAAGGATATATAGGTCACAAGGTCCTGTTATGAGGAAAAATTGAATATTCAAAGCGGTCATATATCCTACGCCTCTTGAGAATTCACTTCGAACTATCCTGTACCTCTCCAACATGGCGCATACAACAGCAGTAGGCGCTCCTTTTTTTTTCTCTGCTTTACAATAGGAACCACAGCCGGGGATTTACTAAAGAAATCAGTCTTCGCAGATTCCGCAACATGTCACCTCTCTCCTTTCGCATCTAACATCGCGCCCCGGAGTCCAGTCCACCTTCATCCTTTCCCGCAAAGATGGGTCCATAATTCAGAGCACGGGACTGCTAGCGACGAAACCAGCAGGCAACAGCAGTCCAAATGTCTCTCAGGCTGATTCAACCGTCGAGGAAGAGTCGGAAGCTACTATGACGCCCGCAGAATCACCCACCCCTCCAACACCGTCTAGCGCAACTACTCCTAACCGTCAAACCTCCTATCAACCGTCCCAGGGGGAAGCGCTAGCAGCTCGCATTTTTGCTTTTGTTTCCAGCGCTTCGGATCTAAGTTTGTCGCTCTCGCGACCCCTGAATGAAAACGCCCACGGTTCCAAAACCGATTCGAACGGCTTGCAAGAAGGGTTGGGCAATGGAACATCGCGGGACGATGGAGACGGAGAGGCATCGGAGAGAGAGGACGACGATGAGGTCAAGCTCCTGCGGCTGAGGACTAAAAAGCATGAGATTGTCGTTGTTCCGGATAAGAAGTATCTGCTCTGTGTGGTACATGATGCGGCGCACCCTACGGGGAACACGAGTGCAGGTTTACGCTCGAGGTAATGAATGATGATATTATCAAGGTTTTTTTTTTTTTTTTTTCTTTTGTTCGATTCGCTTTCACTTCTTTGGACTTCTTTTCTACTGTGCTATTTTAATGTGCTCTTATTTGGACCTATCTTGGTTTGCATGGAATATACCCGGTTGGAAGCAGAGAGCTTCGTCTGTTCGCATGTTGTTTGTTTACCGTTTTGTTGAGCGGGCGTGTAGTTTTGGATAGCAGAGCAGTTCGCATGTGGTTAACACGACCAACATGTGGAAACCATGAATATAGATTTAGATTTCTCTATGCGACCATGTGGCTTGCCTTGGTCTAGAAGTCGTGGGAATGTGGGGGATGTGGTGCCTTAGGGCGCGCTGTGTGGAGTTAAGCTGCTTTTACCCCTCTCACGCCTTATCATCATAGCAAACGCAACCTACTATGTTGGTGCGCCCAACCTACTTGAAGAGGGCTTTAAAGCAGATCTATAGTACTTCTTGAGGTTCCGATATATCAGGCTCTACTGAGTTCATCGTAACATATTTTTCATAGCTTTCCAGAATGACTCTCGATATCGCACAGGTCCGATCTCGCTTTCCTGCCTTGAAGCAGGAGCAGGTCTTCTTGGACAATGCAGGTGTGTCAAGTTTAAATTGAAACATTTGTGGCTTCTCCAGTATCCAGAGCTTTGCTAATCAGCTGA